CTGGTTTAATCCTTTCCAGGATGAATCTGTTTGTTTTCTTAGCAGTCCGTGGTACCCTCAATACTCAAAGGCATCAATTCTCCTTCTATCCTCTTTAGTCATTGTCCATCTCTCTGATGCATACGTGATTGCAAAGATCATGGCCTGTATCAGACACACATTAGTCTCCAGAGACACACCATTGCTCTTCAGTACTTTGGAGAGGTCCCTAAAATCAGACGTTCCCCATGGTGGAAGATTTATCAACAATCTGCGTTATGCAGATTACACAACCCTGCTTGCTGAAACTGAGGAGGATGTGAAGCGTTTGCAGCAGACGTTTAAGTTCTGCAGCCTCCAATATGGATTGAGGCTCAATGTCAAGAAGATAAAGATCCTCACCACTGGACCAATTGGCAGCACCAGGATGGATGGTGAAGAGATTGAGATTGTAAATAACTTTAGTTTGCTTGGCTCCACAGTCAACACTCTTGGCACCAGCAGCCAGGAAATTAAAAAGCGTATTGCCTAGGGAAAATACATATATGCATACACTTTTTTCCCTTTAGTTTTTCATTTTGCTTCCTTAATAAGTTTTTCAAGAAACAAACCTATCTACAGAGTAATAATTTAGTTAGATTTTGAAAATAAGATTTTTGGATGTATGTGTCTGTGTTTGTGTTAATAAGTATGTCTGCATTTATTTGTGCATGTTATTTTAATCAGATAACAAACAGTAAGATTTAATTAAAACAAGCAGTTGGGTCAGCTACATTAAAGTATTGCCAATTATTATTTTCCAGTATCTTTTATTAGAGTTAATTCAACCATTTCACCTGAAAATTTATGATGTGAAAAATTAGTATTGCTAAGAAATTAACTAGCAAATAACTTATTTTAAGAAGAAAGTTGTGATTTATAACTGTTTTGTAACTTCTGAAGGCATTTAAAATTACAGATCTCTCAAAAAGGAAGACTAACAGTGGCCTATGTAATATTTGTTTTTTTGTAACTGTGATACTTCACTCACCATAATGTCCTCCAGGGTCATCTATTTTACATAATACTTCATGAGTTCCTTGTTTTTCGATGCTGCTTAGTATTCCATTGTGTGGATATACCACAGCTTCTCTATCCATTCATTTGTTGAAGGGCTCTTGGGTTGTTTCCATTTCTTTGCTATTGCGAACAAAGCCGCAATAAACATGGGTGTGCATATATCTGCTTGGGTGGCAGTTATGATTTCTTTAAGGGTAAATTCACAGTAGAGGAATTGCTGGGTCAAATGGTATTTCTATTTGCAATTTTTGAGAAAATGCCATATAGCCTTCCATAGTGGTTACACCATTTTACACTTCCACCAACAGTGAATAAGGGTTCCAGTTTCTCCACAACCTTGCCAGCATTTGATGTTTGCTGTCCTGTTAAATTTTGCTATTCTTACTGGGTGAGATGATATGGTTGTTTTGATTTGCATCTCTCTTAGAGCTAGGGATTTTGAACATTTCTTCACATGTTTGTTTGCCATCTGAATGTCTTCTTTGGTAGAGTGGCTGTTCATATCTTGTGCCCATTTTTCAATTGGTTTATTTACCTTTATCTTGTTGTGGTACTTGAGTATTTTATAAATTCTTGATATAAGTCCCTTGTCTGACATGTCATTACCAAATATTTTTCCCAATTTGTGGCTTCCCTTTTTAACCTGTTAGAGAAGTTTTTGGATGTGCATAGGGACTTTATTCTTAGAAGGTCCCATTCATCTATTTTATTCACTCCTGGTTGCAGATTTTTCAGGATGCTTGGAAGACTATTTATGTTGTGGATTAGGACTTCTAGAGTTCTTCCAAGCTTTTCTTTAATGAAATGTATAGCCCTTGCTTTTATTTCTAGGTCTGTTATGCATTTTGAGTTGGTTTTTCTGTATGTAATGAGGTGTGGATCTTGCTTGAGTTTTCTGCAGATGTTGTTGTTGTTGTTGTTATGTGCCGTCGAGTCGTTTGCAACTCATAGTGACCCTATGTACAACAGCTCTAAACCGTGCTCTATTCTGTGCCAATCTCATTGCCTCTGACACACCCATCCCGATTACCTCAG